GGGGCACTGGGCCCTCTCTTCTACCTTGGATCAATCTAGAAAATTATCAGGATGAAAATGTTTTGCTGAAATTTTGTGCATGTCGTTTCTGGAGAATTTTCCAAAATAGCAAAGGGATGCTGACTTCCACTAGGACAATAGAGTGTAGCAAATCAAACAATTTCCAAAAGGCATTTCCTACACTCAGCTGACCGCATTTCCCACCCCACAGAGAAGTATTGTGGGCTACAAGCGGAATTGGATCTGAGATTTTCAGGCAGAAATAGGTAAGTTTCAATCTTGAGGAGAGAAGAAGAGCAGAGAAAAACTCCCAGGGTAGTAACTTGGGAGTAGGGCAGGAGAAGGTGTAGGAGATGAAACAAAGAAAGAATAGACACGTTAATCAGAAAAAACGAATTCACTTACTTTATGTAACTGAGTAGAGGTGGGCAACCTTGGCTCTCTGATGAGTGTGGGAGTGACTTCTTGAGCAACAAGAGAACAGTTTCAGATTCTACTCCCAGTGATCTGCAGTCTCATCTATCAGGGAACTTTATTTCATCATTCCTCGCTGAGCTGTGACACATGAAAATAATTACTGAGATTAGAGATGGAAAGTGTTTATTAGGTCGCTCTACCATCTTCGCCACTATAGAGCGCGCCAGCTCCCCCTGGCCTAGAAGACAGAGCTGTGTCAACAACCTGTATGTCCCTGTCTCCCAGCACCTGAAAAGCGGGTTATTCATCCCTTGGTCTGTGCGGTCTCTGAATGCCAAGGAGAAGAAGATAGCAAGATGTAACCCAGAGACAGGAATCCTGGCTCCGAGTGCTGGTGACTATTAAACGGGTAGTTGTTGATCTGGCTTCAGAAGGTTGAGATCCAACCCTCCTTGGGAAGACTCCATTACAGACTTGTTTATGAAAGATGCAGGAGGCCCTATTTAAGGTTGGGAATCTTTTTTGAAGGGTTGCATCCTGTGCTCGTCTTTTTTCTTGGTAAAGCCTCACTCCCAGAGCTGAGGCTCAGCAGATACTGCTGAGGTGCCTGCACGCCCCACCAGCTGTCACCAGCCAAGTGGACAGACCTGGTTCGCTCGGCTTGCCCGTTGAGTCACGCCCCCTTGAACCTTCTTCCTTTCTGCTGCTTTTCTTCTGCATGGCTTCCAGCTTGCTCACATTGAACCCTTCCTAAAGAGCCCAGGCAGCACTTAGCCGTCTGAAGGTGGTCTCTTTAGAGCCATGGAGACAAGCCTTACCCTGTGCTAGGCTCCAAAAAAATGCTCTTTAACCTTCCCACCAGCTCCAGTGTGTGCGCCCTTGTTTCACGCGGAAGTCAGGGCGGGTCCGAGGCGCTCAACCGAGCATAAAATAGTGCTCTCTGCAGTCCCCTCTCCCCAGGACCGAGGAGTGGAGCTAAGGACGCTTCCATCGCCTCAAAATCGCCTCTCACACTGACAAAGCTTTAGGACCTCACACAGAACCGGTCTCAGAAAACAGCCCAGAGAATTGATTCAAATTCCTACCAAGCTCCAGAACATCTAAGGGGAAAATGGAGCAAAAGTTGCTTAAAACTAAGGAATTACTGAGGGAAAAGGTTATAGATAAGATATTTCGCACTGAGGGCCAGGGTTGCTTGTACGGTGGGTAGGGTGGGGATAGGCACACAGGCAAGGACAAATGATCCATACAGTTCTGCTTGTCCACGTACAAGAAGGGTATACGGGATGTTTTAAGGTAACTGAAACCGTCCACAATTCTCCTGGGTAAGTTCGTAGCTCTGTGGAGAGGGAGATCTTCACTGTCGCAAGATAGGGCCCTAATATTAACCACAGCGTTCACATCCTCAGGCCCGCCAGCAGCGGCAGTGATAATTCAGTCCTCAGCTCTACACTAAGACTGTGTGTTTAGTGCGAGCGGGGTTTTACACAAAAATCGCCCAGAACTTTGAATACGCTGAATTTTAATTAGTCACTTTACCGGTCTCCCTCACTCCCTTGTCACATCCGCACGGGTAGGTCGTGGCTCCAGTTCAGCGAGGATGCAGCGTCCTGGGAGGAATTCCTGACGGGAACTGAAGCAGGTATTTGAGACTGCCTCGACATTCTCTGAAATGAACTGATAGATTTAGTTTTAAAAAGTGAGAAGTCATCTCAACCATTTAAAAAATCCAACTCTTCTGTTTACTACACTCATGGGTTAACCGTGTAGTGTGGAGGCCTCTCCCCGAGTGACTTACTAGCAGTTACGTGATTGTGTAGTGAGCTGTTCCTGTGAAGCAGTAAATCGGAATAAGATGCTTCAAAGGATTGAATACGTGTAATTAAGGGTAATATTTTGAAACAAAGATTTCAGATTCAAATAATAATTAAAAGGACATGGCATTTCATCTCTTCTCCTATACCAAACTTGGAAAATATCTCTTTTGGTTTACCTTGACT